ACGTTCCTTTCAGGTTTTGAGGTAAATATTTTCTGTTGTTCCTGTTCTCTGAGAAAAGAAGTCAGTCCCCTTTTCCCCCGGCAGTTCATGAAGTATAGCAGTTCTTATTTTGGATGTGAGCTCATTGCCATTTTTCTCTCTGCAGAAACAGCTGCTGGGACCTCAGTGGGAACGGCCAGTCCCACTGATTTCCCGTAAATGCCGGGGAGTGGGCAGGCTCTGGAGCCGACATCTGGGAGCTGCAGCCTCTCCCTGTGGGTCAGCGTCTCATTTCAGCAAGCAAGTGTATCTCTGTGCTCCCACTGAGTTAGGGGGTTATGGAGCTTGAACCTCCCTGCCATGGCCAGAAGACCCCTCTAAGCTCTCACTGCCATGGAAGTCCCCAAGCACTGGAGGGTTTTTTTTTGCTGATTAACAACCTGAGGTAGTCCCAGGGAGTTGTGGGGTCCCCAGTGTTTGCTTCATGCGGAATCTGGTAGTTGCTGCAATCAAAGAACTGCTCCCTTCCACAAAAGTCAAAATCCCTGCCTGATGTGAGATCTTGCTGTGTTGAGTGACATCTCCCTCTCTGTGAAAGGCAGAAGCTTCCAGCTCCCAGGGCTGGAGGGCAGCAGTCCTGGAGCCTTTCTGTCTCACAGGAATAGGATACCCCCCAAAAACCCAAGTCATGGAGCTGCTCCCACTCTTACGGAGCTCAGAAACACACGGCTGTTATTTCCTCTGCACTTCAAGCAGATTCAAATTGCTCTTTTCTAGCCACCCTGCAAAATACTAGCGACACAGTGCTTGAAGCCTGGAAGTCACTGCAATGTGACTTTAGCTTTCAGAGACAAGTCAGCCCTTTACACTTGCAAGATCAGGTGAGGTAATGTGGTAAGAATGCAGTGAAAGCAACACAGGTTCAGGGCATTTTCCAAAACCCACTGGAGAACCCAGTAAATTACTTCTGGACCAGGTTAGATCTGTCTACAGGACTCTACATCAACCTTTTTATGCTACTGTAAAAAGCATTAAACATAAAGATGGATTAAAATTTAGATTATGAAAATAGCATTATGTATATGGGATTTTGCAGCTAATTATTGAAGTTGATTTTTTTAAAAAGAAGGCATATGCAAACATGTTAACCTTTTAAAAACCAGCAGGGTAATCTTAGCAATTTAATTCTTAAATAAAATGTGGCATAACTTTGCATTATGGATCTGTGACCTTTAGATTTCTATATCAAGAATTCAATTCGTTTTGCATTAAAATGTATTAAATCCTAGGCTGACACATCATACAATAAGATTCAGCTTAGGAGGAATATTTACAGAAATTACACCCCAAAAGTTAATTATATATTACAGGTGGGGTTGGTGGTTGCAATGGTGTTCTGACACTTCTCCCTTTTTTTTTTTTTACATTTACTTCACAACATTGGCAAGATTTAAAAGAATAAAATCTCAGACGTCCTTTTCGTGTTTAGAGGTAGATACTTTTCAGTAGTTGTTTTTTTGGGTGTTTTTTTTTTTTTTTTTAAACAAAAGGAGGAAGTTCACCTATTCCAGGAAATAAAGCTGACCAAAATACAGTTTTTCTCCTATCTCAAAACTTTGATAATCTTTTTGTGAAAAGCCTGAAGCACTCAAATAAATTCTGATTTCAAATTTTTTAATTGGTTACTATCATGTAGGTGTTCTATTAAATGGAAACGTCTTTTATGTGAACATCTGTTAGGATTTGGCTGAATTCTTAGTCTTTAACAAAGAGATTTAAGATTCCTGCCACTATCCAAGGAGGCTGCAGGACTGGAGAATTTGAATTTTAGGAGCTAATCTTCCAGAGATTTTATTCACTTCAGATTCTTCTTCAGATGATGTCTTCCAATGTCTCCCAAGACAGTGCAGGACACTGAGCTACAGACTGTGCAAAGTTTGGGACTGGGCACATTTATCTATTTAAGTATCTACTCTACCAATCCCAGGCAGCATTAAGCAGTAATGTCCTTGGCTGGCTAGAGAGGGGGCCCCAGAGAGACCTCTGAAGGCTATAAAAACAGCTCAAGGTAATGCAGGGCTAGGAAGGGGGCCTGAGTGAGGAGAGTAGGAGTTTTGTCAGTGGCTAGAGAGAGGTAGAGAGAAGAGGGACGGGACACTGGCCTTACACTGAGGCAAATCACGGTGAGAATAGAAACCACATGGACTCAGGGGATGAGGAACCTGGCAAGGGATTGGGACAAAAGTCCAACTGAAAATCATTATTTGAATATATAATTAAAGACTATTTTCACATACACACACTGGAGGCACCCTAATATGTCAATGCCAAATCTATGACTACTTCCCTTTGGAATGTTATTAGAAAACCCCAGAGACTGTGGTACGCCACAACACACATACAGACACAGACAAGTGACAGAGTTTGACAAAAGAACAAATGTGAGTGTACGCCTAGAATGCAAGTAAAATCTGAATCTTGCCTGAGGTCCAATTTACAGACCACCTCAGAGCCTTCATGTTATAAACCAAAGCTACACTTAAGCATAATGTAAGATGAGGAGGCACCAAGATGAAATATCCATCAAGAGGAAGGAAGAGCATATTCCTTTATCTCTGGAATAGTGCTGGAGCTTTACTAGCCACAGTGGAACCACAGTACTCTTAAAATAGTTTCTCTGCAAATTTCCTTGACACGGATCTGTCAGTAGTCTTAAACTGAAATGAAGGGCAATCAGAGGGCAATCACTCAAATGCCCATTCAGATACCCAGAATCCAGATATTCAGATTCATTTCAGAATTAAGAGAATTACAGAGATTAAATAAAGAAAAAAAAAAGTAGAAAAAGGTGATTTAGGCTAATGGTCTGCCACTGCAAAGCTCCGAGCTGTTTTCTTACGCCCAGGAAGCAAGGCAATTTCCAGACAGAGTCCCCCACCTGCTGTTTTTCTTTAACACTTGAATGGACAAGGAGCATGAGACAGAGTCAATATACCCAATCAAATAACAATAAAATTTCTTGTCCCTTGTACACATTGAAAAATGGGGGCTTGATCAATATTCTTCCTCCTTAATTTAATAGCATCAGTAAGCAGTAAGACTTAACGAAGGGCACATGCATCACATTCCTGCCACATATACAGAGCTGCTGCATTAGGACCATTAGCAGTGACAATCCCATC